CGGCTTCCGCAAGCACTTGCACTTTGGATCCGGATTCGGAATCCGTAACCGGACTATCCCCAAGGGTCGGCCGTGTTGCAATGACCAACGGCGGCGTCTACGACCCGGGCCCCTAAGCCTGGTTTGCATCACCTTCACTGGTGGCACCAGGAGGGCAACGAGGCCCTGACTACCGGTCTCCTGAGCCCATGCTCCTCTCTGCTTGAGAATGGAGTTCTTGCCCCGCTGGACCTGCTTTGGGGCTGCTTCGGGGCACTGACGCCGCGAAGGACAATCGAGGCTGCCTCTGGCGCCTCTTTACCTCCTAGCCCTAGTTTCAGAGCAGATGAGAAAGCCTGGGGGGAGTTCGGCTGAGGGGCAACTCCCCCGCCGGCGCCCCACCCCCCCATGCCAAGCGTCTGTTATCCTCACGTCTTCAGAGCTGGATGCAGCAGAATTTGGAGCAAAAATGGTGGCTGCAGGAACCATTGCCAGCCCAGTCCCAGGTGGATGGCTGGTGGGAGGCTGCCCACTCCCTCAGCCCAGATACCAACTGAGCATCTGTGCTTGAGTGCCGGGGGTGCCTGCGGAGGACAGACCACAGCAGGACCCCCTCCCCCAGTTCAGTAGCTCCTAAGCTGGGGACACCCACGGGCTATGAGCAGCTGGGGCTGTGAGGAGAAGGCAGTTGGGAAAAGACACGAACAAGCAGGCGCCCTTGTGGAGGGACCCTCAGGTGATAGAGGCAAGGGCTGGAAAGTAAGTTTGCTAAATGTCAAGCTCGGTTGTGGGGCAAGGACAGAGGGACACCTTGAAAACTGCCTGCTTATTGTGTGGGTGAGGGGCTTCTACTAGTTCCTGATGTCAGCAGGAGTAGTTCGGTCATAGAGAACCTAGGGTTCAGACCGTGGCAGGAGGTGGCCAGAGCCGGGGAGTGGCGAGAAGGGGCCACAGCCCACTCATGCTGCTCTCTGGATCTGCCTGCCAGCTTTGTAGTGTGTATTTTAATGGTGTATTTGGAAGCCATTTTTAAAAACCTGTTCGGTAGAATATTTAAGCAGCCAACAAGGAGATGGATTTGCAATTTAAACACAGGCCTTTCAGGGCCTCTTCCCAGCCTCCATCCACCTGGACAGGGAAGGAGGCCCGCAGCAAGCTGCTTCCCCTTTGGAGCCTGGGCTTGGCTTCAAGATTCACCTTGTACAGCTGTCTGGCCCCTACTTGTCACTAGCCCTGTGCCTTGCCTCCATCTTACAGATGACTTCTGCAGGTCTTGGCAGAGCACGGCCCTTCTGAGTCTCACTGACTCACTCCCCAGCTCTACTGGGGAGACTCACAGTACTCCCAACCCATGACCATGAAGGGTGCTGCCACAGCCAGCCACAGGCCTGTCCCAGGATTGCCTGGCCAGACCACTGGCGATCCACAACACACACTCACACCAGCATACCTGGGCCTGCCTCTGCTGCTTTGTTCTGAACTCACTAGGCCCTGCGGGCTTGCAGTCCCTTTTGCCAGAGCTGAGGCTTCTGAGATAGAATCAAAGGGCCTGGTCTGGGCGGAGACACAGAGTAAGGCCGGTGGTATGCAGGCCCTAAAGCCTGGTTCCCTAGGTACTGGGTAGAGTGGGCACTGGAGTACACCGGGATTGGGGTGGGGGGGGTGTCACTGTGAGCAGGCCACACTTTCCTGGATGTCCTCCAGGGCAAGGCCTCATTGAGTCTTTGTAGCTGGAAACCTGGTCCTCCCACAGGTCACAGAGCAGAGCGTTAGAAGCTAGACTGGCTTCTGGCCACTCTGCAAGGGCTGCTCTGAAGAGATCCTGCCCTCAAAAAATCGGGATAATTGTGACATTCTCCCATTAGGAAATGTCTCATGATTAGGAAAAGAACTCACCAGAAAACCACTGACTAAGGGTATGGACTTTGGGTTAAGATTGCTGTATTCAGTGTGACCTTGGAGGGGTGGGGGCACCAGTAGAGTAGTGGCTGGAAACACAACCCCACGCCGCCACTCCGAGCAGCCCTCTGAGCAGCCTGGGATCAGAGACCTTCATTCAGGTGAAGCTCTGAGTTGGGGAGATTTTAACATTTAAATAGTGGCTGAGGTGTGGGAAGGGAAAGACACTCAGGGAAAGGATAAGGCAAAACCAAGCATGGGTGTGGCCCTCTTAAGAAAGTCACACTTGTGTCTTTTTACCGAGAATCATGAATCTGGCGGCTTCTGAAGTGTCTCAGGGCTTGCTAAGGAGCCTTTTTTTTTTTTCAGTAAATAAGAGCGAGATGGTTCCTGGTGTACCACCGGCTAGGACAACAGCAGATAAGGAAAAACCTCAGGTCACACGGAGTCATGTGGACGTTGAGTACTTACTGCAAAAATTTTATGGTCTTTGTGATATTCCCAGAAAGTTTTTGGTTTCTATTTGGGAAAAGAGCAAGGCCATCTGTGAAAGTCATGTATACACATGAACCTTAATCATGGTCCATTAATACTGTAATACTCTATTTGATTTATAGTGCCTTATGAGACAAAAGTGGAGATAGCAGGGCTTGGAAAAGCCTGGCTATTTTATGACTTAAAAAGCTAGGCAGTGGTGGCGCATGCCTTTAATCCCAGCACTTGGGAGGCAGAGGCAGGAGGATCTCTGCGAGCTCAAGGCCAGCTTGGTCTACGGAACGAGTTCCAGAACAGTCAGAGCACAGAGAAACCCTGTCTCGAAAAAACGAATACATATATGTTAATTGTGTGCATGTGTCTATATGAATCCAGGCACACATACGGAAGCCTGGGGGTCAATTTTAGGGAGTCATTTCTTGCTTTTTGCCTTGTCAAGGCAGGGTCTCTTGTTTCTGCTGCTATACAGCATACTTCATACTAGCTGGCTTGTGAGTTTCTGTGTAATTTTCCTGTCTCGCCTTCTACTTCAACTGTAGGAGTGCTGGGATTACAGATGTAAATCACCGCCTATGGCTTGAAAGATGATTTTAAAACATTGGGTTTCAGGGATTGAACTTGGGTTGAAAGGCTGGCTAGGACCTCAAAAGTCCTCCTTTTTTATTTTTTTTGAAGATTTATGTATGAGTGCTCTGTTTTTATGTACACCTTTATGCCAGAAGAGGGCATCAGATGCAATTACAGAAGGCTGTGAGCCACCATGTGGTTGCTGGGAATTGAACTCAGGCCCTCTGGAAGAGCAATCAATGTGCTTATCCTCTGAGCTATCTTTCTAGCCCTCTCTTTTATTTTTAATGCTTCCTGTTAAATGATTTTTGGTTAAAAGAATAAGATCTTAGTCAGGCGGTGGTGGTGCACGCCTTTAATCCCAGCACTTGGTAGGTAGAGGCAGACGGATCTCTGTGAGTTCAAGGCCAGCCTAGTCTGCAAGAGCTGGTTCCAGGACAGGCTCCAAAACTACAGAGAAACCCTGTTTCAGAAAAAAAAATAAGATCTGAGTTATGCCTCTGGCCCCAGGTAAAGACATGGCATTCTATACTGCCCAAAGGATCATGAGATTACAAAGAGTTTAACTACTTGGCCTACCAATCACTTGGCCAAATAACAAATCTAAAGACTTGTTAAGGAGATAGGAGGAATGGAACCCTGTGATGGTCAGAAGACTAGTGTACATTGGTTCTTTCCTACCATGTGGACTCTGGGCACTGAAGTCAGGCCATCAGGCATGTCAGCAAGCTGTGGTTACAGCTGAGCCATCTCTCTGGCCTCCTTCTCCCTCTTTCTATGTCTGTTTTGAAAGTCAGCCAAACTCCTAAGCCCGCTTGCCCTAACCCACAGGGCATTCTCACTCTTCTCTGAATGCCCACCTCCACCCCCAAGCAGCTGCTCACTGCTGATTACCTCTAATTTAAGGACAATGTCTCTTGGACTAGCAAGATGGCTTTGCCAGTAAAGGCTGACAAGCCTGACGACCTGAACTCCATTCCCTAGGAACCCACATGATGAAGAGACCTGACCATCTCAAATTGTCCTTTGATCTCCATGTTTTTGTTGCACATGCATGTGCATGCAAACAAATGTGCACGCACAACACAAATGTAATGACATTTTAGAGGGATGGCTTTCTTCTTATCCCTCTCTCTTGTCTCAGAAGCTGCTGTGATGTTCAGTTTTCCTGCCTTGTTTTTCTCTCAAACACTAAAAAAATGGTCTTTAACTTCCTTCCAAGATTTTTTTAATTACTTTTGGTAGTGTGTGTTGCCTACATGTATGTATGTGCACCATGAATGTGCCTTGTGCCCATAGAGGGCAGAAGTGGGTGTTGAATCCTCTGGAACTGGAGTTACAGATGATTGTGAGCCGTCTCTATAACCCTTCAAACATGTTTTCAAATTATTTTGTTTACAAGACAAGGAAATTAAAAACAGAACCCAGTTAACAAGAACTGACACAAGAGGAAACAGAAAGTCTGAATAACTCTATGTCTGCTCCCAACATCCTGAAGAAAAAGCCCTGAGTTTACAGTCACATCCAAGAGCTGGAACCTGCCATGTAATCCCTGAGTGAGTGGCAGAAGGATTACAGGGGTGGGGTGGGAGTGGCATCAAGAGGAGGTTTTAATTTTGGTGGTGGTGATGGGTGCCTAGGGATCCTACAGGGCAAAGGCATTCCTGGGGCTAGGTGTCACTGTGCATATGTAGACAAAGGGTCTAGGCCAAAGAACACTTTGGTTTGCACAGGATAGCATGCTCCACTGAGTCCCATTTGAATGAAGATGGAGTCAGGCCAGTGGCCTCCCCTTCCCACTGGGTCAACGGAAACTAGGACACCTCTGTGGTTTTGGCTGAAGGCCCCTGTCAACTGGACTGGTGGAAACAGTAACAAGAGAACATTTAGGCTTGCTCACAACATTCTTCCTTTAATGCACTTAAACAAACCTATGCCTCAGAAAGGAGTCGGGTCAATCAAAAGCCGTAGCCTGTGGAGCAGCTGAAGACCCTCTAGCTGCCCTCCTGCCAATCCCCACACCACATGGGGGCCTGCAGCTCTGCACTGTGGGAGGTACTTGTCATCCCTGCTGACAACACCACTTTCCTAGTATTTTGTGTTAAAAAATATATTTTGAGGCTGTGATGCTGGTGGGTGAAGCGAAAGGTTCTCAGACAGAGTTGCAAAGGGGTGTTCCTTGTTCAAGGTCATCTCCAGCTTCAGTTTCCTTAATTCGTCCTGAAGTTTCTTGGCCTTTGGTGAGAAGACGAGGAGGTATAAGTTAGGACAAAGGAACCCCCACTTTGGTGCGTATGAGGTATATGTGGGAGCACTCAGGCTGCCTTTCCTCCAAGCACCCACAAGCTGTATCTTAGTGATGTCTCCTCACTGATACGGAGGGGCCACTCAACCTGGGCTCCTGACAGCTCTTGTACCTGTGGATGCTTCCCCAGAGTTAACCACCTTGTGGGCATTTGTGTACGCACAGCATCCCCATACCGTGCAGGCAGCAGTATGAATGAAGAATTCATTCTCAGGAAGAGAGAATCCTGAGGCCGGTGCCATAACACCCTCTAAGCACAATCTAGCCACGAACATAGCCAGAGAGACAGAGGGCCAAGGAAGGACACTGCCCAGCCTGGAATCAGGTGTGTGCTTTGTGTCCTATAGTGCCCAGCCCATCTGCCACTCAGGAAAAGAGAAACCTGAGGCCACGGGGTGGTCATGTCTCTGTCTGAGGTCACCCGATCCTTGGGTGGAGACCTTAGCTCATCTGTCCATTTCTTCTGCCTGTCTCCTCAAGCCCAGCCACACCATCTCAGGTCTGCACCACGCCAGTGAGTACTGTCTGCTGTTGGTCCTGTTAGTGCCCATCTATAGCTTTGCCTCTTTTTAGACTGTGCTGTTGCTGTTTCCTTTGTGCCTGCCATTCAGTGTGCCCAAACTGGACACCCCTCCCAAGTCTCTTCTCCTGGACAAACCTGTCATGGGGAACTTTGGGTCAGAGGCTCAGCCCCTGGCAAGCAGCCTGGGGCATTTTATTTTTTTCTTGCTCTGTTTAGCCCTCTGACAACTCCCTTCAGGCAGAATTCATTCCAATGGCCCTGAAGAGGCTGGGCAGGAAGCAGCATTTTTAAAGGACTGAGTGGAATTTATACTGCTCTGGCCTTGACCTCTTCGAGCTCTCTAGAGGTGGGATTTTCTAGTCCTTGGTCAGGACATCGAGCTACTAACACGTGGACTATGATGCCCCTTCTCTAATTGTACTTTTTTCTTCTTTTGAGACAGGGTCTTGTGTACCTCACGCTGGCCTGAGCCTCACTGTGCAGCCAAGTATGACCCTGGGACTCCTAATCCTCCTCCCTCTACTCCGAAGTGCTGGGACTGTAAGCACGTGCCACCATGCCCCATGTATTTCAGCTCAAACTCATGGTTTCACGGATGCTAGGAAAGCTAATTTGTTTCTTTCTAAATGTTCCTTTCACTTGCTCTGGAATCTCCTAAAATATGCCAGCACGTGTTGAACCTCTCAGACCCATCTTCTGGTTGTTGCTGTCTTAAAATCTTGTTTCCATTCTGTCATCCACCTCCATTTTCTTTTCATTCTGCTTCCTGGGGGATTTATTTAATTTCACCTCCGGGCACTTGCCCTGGTTCATGGTAGCAGTTGCTTCCACCAATGCCCAGGGACTAACACTGTCAAGTGTTGCTGTTGCTGCTGCTGCTGCTGCTGTTGTTGCTGCTACTGCTTCAAAAGTTGTTTTACGTGTGTGAGTGTTTGCCTGCATAAATGTATGTGCACCACATGTGCCTGGTGCCATGGAGGTCAGAGATCGCACTAGGTTCCCTGCAATGAAGAGTTAAAGGTGCTTGTAAGCCGCTGTGTAGGTGCTGGGAACTGATCTTAGATCCTCCAGAAGAGCAGCAAGTGCTCCAGCCCTATTGTGCACTTCTTAATTGGGTCTCTGTTTGTCTCTTTCTGCTTTTCTCCAGGCTTGCTGAGGCCTCTCCTGAAAGACCAAGCACAGGCGGGTTCCCCATGCATTGGGATGAGACCTCAGACAACAACCAGACCTCACAGGTGCTGCTGGGAACCCACTGGCCACTCTGCTGGGACAATTCCAGGGAGCACCCATGCCATCTGTCAGTTAGAGGGCTGGAGAGCAATGCACTGAGAAGGCTCTTCCTGCCCTTCCAGGTGGTGAAAAGCAGAGGCTTTGTGACAGTGACACAGGGTAGCCATGGCCCCTCTCTAGGTCCCCAGGACCCCATAGCAGCTCCTCTACAGCGACCTGCTCACCTGGGGCAGACCCTCAGGGTCCTTATCAGAGCCCAGGAAGGCATCCCATGGCTACTGTCACCACACCTCTATCCTGCTTCCCTACAAGACAGGCTATGCTGGGTGGGTGACTCCAGGGGACAGACTTTCAGCTTTTACCCACTGTCCCCAGATTTTCACTCTTTTTTTTAAAAAAATTTTAAGATTGGCAGTGGTGGTACACACCTTTAATCCCAGCACTCAGGAGGCAGAGGCAGGTGGATCTCTGTGAGTTTGGCCAGCCTGGTCTACAAGAGCTGGTTCCAGTACAGGTTCTGAAGCTACAGAGAAGCCCTGTCTCGAAAAACAAAACAAAAACAAATAAAACCAAACCAAAACAAAAGTCCATCATGTTTTCATTGTATTTACACCCCTCTTCCAATTTTTCGCAGATTCACACTCCCTCCCTACCTACCTAACTTTGTGTTCCCCCTAAATATTCTTGGCTGTGTGGCTTACTGAAGTGTGGTTAACTGACTATCACCAGGGGCAGACCCCTAGGGGATCCACACATACCTAACATTTGTCAACAGCCTCTCTGCTCAGACTGGGACTTGGTAACAAATCCATACTGGACATGTGGCTGCCACAATTTGGTCTGGGTTTGCATTCTTGTGTTTTAGGGTTCTGTAGAATGAACCTCATAACTGGTTGGTGTTTTCTCTATCTCTCAGCAGGCTCCTAATACTATACCTCCAGGGACTTTCTTCTTACAAAACTTTGCTGGCCTCAGTATGTGTTAGGTTTCAGGCTCAGCTATTATGGCAAAGGTCAGATAAGAGTGACTGAAAACCAGGAGGAGTGGCATCTCTGCGAGGCCAGAGCCAGGGCTGTAGACTCCCTGCAGCTGTTACTGGGTATTCATGGCTTTTACCGCAGAGCTGTCTTGTCTCTGCCTTTTTCTCTCTTCCTGCTGTGGTGCAGTGATGATTAATCTGGGTGCTAATGTGACATGCCAATGTGCCGATGCGGAGGGTGCGTGGTGGGTTTGTGGCCAGGGTTGACTTTTGTCCGTCTGGACAGAACAGAAATGGAACCACAGAGAGGCTGTGAAGAAAGCCTGCTCTTGAGCCAATGACAGATTAACCTGGAACTAAGCCAAGGTGGGGTCATGGGCACCCAAGTACCACTATCACAAAACTTCTTTTTCCTTCTACCAGCTTCCTGTCGTAGGAAGGGCCTTTGCTCTGGATTCTCCCACAAGCAGGGTACTGAGGTGAAAGGTGGGTGCAGATGGTTTCAGCCATTAGGTGGCAACGTGGTTAGACAACAAGGGTTTAGGTGTATAATTTGCTCTGTTTAGGAGCTCAGAGGTGTGGTCATTCGGATCCCTGTGAATTGGCACACTGCTCTCTCCTCAGGCAACAGCAATGAACCCTCTCTAAGAAGCTCCATTTTAACCAACAGCCTGCTCTCTGGGTGTGAAGCCTTAAGCAAAGACTGCGCAGACTAAGGAACGGACTAGTTCTGTCATCAGTCCTCAGAGGCCCTAAGCTGTCATGCGTATCCCATTATGTCTAGTGCAGCTGAGAGCTAACAGTGTGGCCAGGATATTTTTCTGGAGGCCCCTAATACATACATACATGACAGGCATTAGAGGGCACTTGCTCCACAGTGATACAAAGAATTTCATTTCATTAATGAGACATTCGTAAACAGGGCAACGGTACTCACAGTTTCCAGGTCCTGGTTGGCTATCTTCATGTCTTGTAGTGGGTTGGTACCCAGAAAGTTGCGAGCACAGATCTGCTCTGTATGCCGCCTTATCTTCTCCTCCAGGTCTGCTAACGGTGAGGCGCTGGGACACAGACACTTACTGCTTGGATGCTGGCCTTAGGCTAGCAGCCCTCATTCCAACCATAGAGAAACCTTTCCCCACAGCCCATGAGCCATCTGAGGTACCATGTGGCTCCCGGCCTCCCCTAGAGATGCTGGCCTTGAGGCGACATCTTTCCCAGAAGGTCATTATGCTTAAACACCCTCAAGCTGGGGCTGGAAAGGTGGCTTAGAGGTTAGAAGCACCCCAGAGCTTATCAGGACCTAGGTTTGGTTCCCAGCACCCCCTGGAGGCTAACACCCATCTATAACTTCATATCCAGAGCTATGTGGCTGTGCCTGTTTTTTAGCAGTCTGATTTGTGCATGCGGAGAACAGCATTCCTTTTCATAGGTAACACAGTTTTACTGAACCTTTAGACAGAGCAGAACATCTCATTGACCTGAGATTTTTAAATACATCTCTATCTCTGCTAACATCAGGCTGAGACTCCAAAGTTGCTATTTGTGGACCGTAAACAGAATGATTTAGAATGGCAGAAAGAGGCCAGAAATCTCTGGCTAAATGCCAGGAGGTTCCCACTCCCTTCCCACACAGTTGGTTCTCTGCTACCTGCCCTGTACCCTGCAGGGCTTCTACACTGTCCCACTGGCTTGGTTCAGGGATCCCCCACCCCCAATATTGGTCCTTTTTGGCACCAACTTTCCTCAATGCTCTCCTGAGTTCCAGATGGGTCTGCTAGCTAGCCTAAGCTCTTAGGACAATCGCCACACTTCTCTCCCAATTAGCAACCTGGCGACTCCTTGGCCAGAGACTCCAATACTAGGGTGTCAAATGCTAAGGGACCATAAACCAGTCTTCTCATGTGTTCTGCCTTTCTTTCATGGAATCTTTTGGCAGGAGCCATGACCGGCACACCATGATGGGAAGGCTAGGTGTAGTCCTAAGGGCTGAAAAGACAGGACTTAGGGTGAGACAAGGGCTCAGGCACCAGAACAACTGGGGAAGGGTGAGGCTGGTGGTGCCTGCAGTTATACTCCTGGAGTGGGCATTTTCTGAGTCCTGCTGGTCATCTGGCAGGGTAATGGAACACCAAGCATGGGGATCAGGTCTTCCTAGATCATCCACTATGCTGAGTGCTCACACAAGGCTAGACATTCCATGGCACTTGGTACATGCCTTGGGCAGCCTGTGGCACTGAGCTGCGGAGCCGGGAATGCAGAACTGCCACCAACCTGAAACTCCTCTGCACTGTCCTCTCTCTGCTGGCCTTCATTTTCCTGAGTGGATTCGCTGGCGTTTTCCCATGGTCTGTCAGATCTGTGGCAAAGGGGATCTTTGATGCCATCTAGAAAAATGCAACAAGCTATTTCCAGCAATGCATGCAAAGGCTGCTCTTATTTCCAGCAATACATGCAAAGGCTGCTCTTTTTTTAAATTTTTTTTATTTTTTTGTTTTTCGAGACAGGGTTTCTCTGTGGCTTTGGAGCCTGTCCTGGAACTAGCTCTGTAGACCAGGCTGGTCTCGAACTCACAGAGATCCGCCTGCCTCTGCCTCCTGAGTGCTGGGATTAAAGGCTGCTCTTATTTCCAGCAATGCATGCAAAGGCTGCGCTTCCCCACAGGCCCACCTGCCCTGCTAGGCCACCCAAGGGGACATTCTTTATAGGCCTCCCTGTCCTATAGCTTGACTAATAGCCGCTCCCACCTTGGTCCTTGGTGCAGGCATCTCTCAAATGTCCCAGCAGCCCAGGTTGGAGTGGAGGCAGTTTAGAGCAAGGAACCCTGGGTAAGCTCAAAGTTGCTATAGTTGACCTAGGATACCCCGAGACGCTGTCACGTGACAGAAAACACATTACTGTAACAGGACTCCAGTTGTTTAGACAGGTGTGAGTTAGTTTTAAATCACAAAGTTTCAAGCTAATACATAAGTGCTAATGCAAACCAAGTACAGGCCTTGAACTTGGCAAGCCTGCAGGTCATAGATCTAGACATCGTGAGTAGAACAGGTAACAACCTACAAGTGACTCAGTTCTTCCCCCCCCCCCCATAAAGAAACCGCACCCTAAAAAAAAAAAAGAAACCGCATCCTGAGGGACACCAGGGCATATCCGGTTGTGCCCATTGGCATCCCACCCCCCTGCACTCCATGGCCCTCCAGGCCAAGTAGTTCTAGATCTTTCCACAGGTCAGACACTCTCAGTGTCTTTCTAGGACATTCCACAGCCGCTCGGCCATGTTGCCTGAGTGGTTCCCATCTCAGATTTCCCTAAATTGTAGGAAGTGAGAACAGAGCATGGGAGAGCAGCCCAGCCGAGAGAGGAAGCTCGTGTGATCTTTTAATGTTAATGGGCCACCTGGTGTTATGGAAACACAGCCCACTCCTCGCAGCCTCTTGGGCACACTCCTCATTCCCGGACAGCCCGATGTCACTCAGATTAATGGCCACCCATTCCCCATTTGGCCTTCCTTATCCACTGTGATTTATGTAGACATAGCCTCTCTTCCTAGCAGTCCTGCCTTCTGCCCTGTAGCCTGAGTTACCCTGTCTCCTGACTGCTATGGCCTTCCTGCAGGGCCTTTCTACTCCACGTCACAGACACAGCTCCAGGCTAGTCTTCGAATTCTTCTCGGGCTATGACTGGAGACCTCCTGTCTGATCCCAGCTCCCCACGCCCACCCAGTCCCCATGTGTCTTCAGAGCCAACCTAAGGCTCAGTTCTAATGTTTGGAACCTGAGCTGTCCTGTCCCCTCTTAATACTAGAGGTAAGGGGATTTCATCCTAGTAATTACAGAAACAAACATTTCTGTCTTACTCCCAGGCCTTTTGCTGTAGTAGCTGGCTTCCTGCAGAGCCATCAGATGGCATCTGAAGCTGTTTCTGCAGCTCCAGCAAGCAGATATGCCTGGACAGGATGTGTTGGTAAGGGCAACAAAGACCACGTGACCAGCACTGCTCACTGCTGCCTCCAGGGGATGAGGTGGGGAACTAGCCCAGCCCCAGATTCAGGAGCTTAAGTGTGTGTGAGTGTGTGTGTCTATCTCTGCAATGTGCAAGGTATGTGCGCGGTTGCCTGTTCGTGGGAGGCAGGCTGTTAGACTCCAAGGCTGACTAAACAGAGTGAGATTGAGAGGAGGGTGTGAGGCCTGGGGAGGGGTGAATCTCCTGCTGGGGTTCCTGCTGTGTGCTATCTGCCTGCCAGGGTGGACTTTGAGCTCAGCCAGACTGTGCCCCCCTATCAGACTTGTATCTCCCCTTCTCAGTTGAAGATTTCCAGGGCTGGGGTCTTATCTGCCAGGGTGTGCAGTTCAAACCCAGCATTCCTGGCTCTCTGAAAGGCCTGGAACCCAGGAAGATACAGTTAGGGGACAGGAGCCGCCACACCCTTCTTTTACAGCCCCCCCCCCCCCCCCCCGGAAATGCATAGGGCTGGGACACAGCAGAATTCCACATGCTTGCTGGTTGTGATAGCTGCTTTACCATAGGAGGTCAAAAATCTTCCACAGAAATTCCAACAGAAAGAAATGCATGATGCTAAATCCAGGTGGTTTCCTTTTTTCCTCATTAAAGCCAGATATTACTTGTTTTAATAATTAAAGACATGCATGGGGGTGGGGGATGCTCATCTATATATAGTTTACTATTACAGAAAAACAGGCAAGAAAAAAATCATCCAAATACCCAATCTCCTAATAACAAAAAGAATGCAAATGCTTGAAAACTGGGCAAACCTTCAGGCACAGGGAATGATGGTGCTGGGGGAGGTTCCCAGCTTTATAAGAGAGTGTCAAACATGCAATTGCTATGGAGGCCAAGAAAAACAGGTTCAAAGGTCGTAGACAAAGCTGGCTTCAGAACAACATGGAGAAGAAAAATGTATGTCTTTTCTCAATCAAGTGGCAGACCTGGAGTCCCACCCAGTGTCCAATCTCAGAAGTCTTTTAGCAGTCAGCGCCTGCATGGGGTAAAAGCTGCACATTTACATGTCACAGGAAGCACAGGTAAGGCAAGTGGGCTCTGCAAAGGCCTTTCCTCACTCCACGTGGTAACTACCCCTGCTTGGCACATAGTGCTCCAGGCTGGAGCGTCAGCTCCGCCCAGCAGCCTCCAGCCATGCACAGCACTCTGGCACCCTCTAGCCATCACCAGCCCAACTGCAGGAGCCTGTACAGGCTGAGAGCTTCCCTTAGGCTGGCACAGGGTCATGCCATCTACTGTGAGTCCCTACTGTGTGTTTGTGCAGATGACAAAATACACAACTTTGTCACATGCTTCAATTAGATTGCCGTCATCTCCGAAAAATGAACTCTCAAAAGTGTCCAAAGAACACTAGTTTTGTTGTTGTTTGTTTGTTTCTGAGGCAAGGCCTCATGTAGCCCAGGCTGGCTTGAAACTCAGTCCACAGCCGATTCTCCTGTATCTGCCTCCCAATTTCATGCCCAGTTTCTGTGGTGCTGGGGGCTCTTACCCAGGGCTTTGTGCACGCCAGGAAAGCACTCTCAGCTGAACAACATCCTCAGTCTGCTGCCTCATTATTAAGATGTTTCCTCAGGAGGCTGCTGGGGGCTGTGCTCATAGACTGTTCATTGTTCAGGGTCCGCACTGGACAGGTGGGACAGAGCGTACCAAATGGATTTCTAGCTCTTTGGATTTTCTCTGTGAACTGTTCGTCTCCTCCTCTGTCCTCTTCTCTTTTAATCTTTGATTTCTTTTTAAAAATATTTTTTAAAGATGTATTTTTATTTTATGTGCACTGAGTTCCTTCCCTGCATGTATGTCTATGTACCATATGTATGCCTGGTGCCCAAGGAGACTAGAAGAGGTCACTGGATCCCTCAGAATTGGAGTAACAGTGTGAGCTGCCATGTGGGTACTGGGCACTGAATCCAGGTCCCCTGTAAGAACGGCAAATGTTCTTAACCACTGATTATTCTTTCCAGGCCTCTTCAGTTTCTTTTTTCTTTTTCTATTTCCTTTCTTTCATTCCTTCTTTTTTTTTTGGGGGGGGGTGTTTGAGACAGGGGACTTCTGTGTAGCTCTGGCTGTCCTAGAACTTGCTCTGTAGACCAAACTTGTCTCCCCAGTGCTGGGATTAAAGGCATGCACCACCACTACCTGGCTGATGAAATATTTTTAACGTTTTATACATATGAAAAAACTGGGGAACAGAAAACAAGACAGACACAAACGTGAACACTTCTCATAATACAGCGTAGTGTTAAGTGAACAAGGAACACACAGCCCTCTCTGACATCACATACAATGCAGAAGGCAGTACCCCATTGGAGCAGAACAGAGCAGCCTTCAGGATGAACAGAGGGATCAAGGCTGGCTCCAGCATGCTTTCCCTCAAAGCCTCTATGGTCCTGACTACATCATTTAGGAAGATCCCGTTTCAGGGTCCAGGGTGACTTTCGGGCCTACTCCTGAGAAAGGCTTCCTGGATAAGAAATGCAATATAACACAAGGTAACGGGTCCTGTTTGGACTGGAGGAGCCCAAATCTCTTGAACTTCCGTCCCAAGAGATGGCCACCCTCTGACCAGAGATTGAGTAGTGGCACACAAGTGACAGAGCTGTGCCTCTACTGACCATGAGCAGGGCCCACACCACTCATGGACCCTAACTGCACAGAACTTGAAAGCCCCACCCTCTAACTTCTATCACTCTCCTGGGGCATTCTCCTGTAGCAAACATTTCCATGGTTTTTTTTTTTTCTTTTTTTCTTAAAGTAACAAAACATTGAGTTGGATGAACAATGGCAGCCTGGGGAATGTTAGCTGACAAAGGAACCCAGTGACAGAACCCTGGCTGGCCATCGGCTGCAGCCCTGCTGCAGATGAGCCCCACCAGACATCAGTGACAACGGGTCAATGGTCGCTGACTGAGACAAATTGCACTAGAACTCAGTGACCAAGGGGAATGCATGACACACTGCTAGCAAGGCCCTTCTGCAGATCTGGTGATGAAGGGTCCTGGTGGAAATCAGTAAGAATGAGTCACAAGGCCTGGATCAGCCATGGAGGAGAGGTCAGCATGACTGCAGGGGACAAGCTTGCTACCCTGAAAAGCATCAAGACTGGTGTCTTACTTTTCTACTACTGTGAAAAGACACCCGGATCAAGGCAACTTATGAAAGGAAGAGTTTATTTGGTGCTTGCTTACAGTTTCAGTGGGATAGTCCATGGCTGTCATGGTGGGGACATGGTGGCAAGAAGGCAGGCAGCCAAGGCACTGGAACAGTGGTTGGAAGCTTGCATGTTGAGACAACCATGGAGCAGAAAGAGAGCTAACTGAGAGGGGTGTGAGCTTTTGAAACCTCAAAGCCCAGCCCTAGAGATACCTCCTCCAACAAGGCTACATATTCTAACCCTTCCCAAACAGTTCCACCAACTGTAGACCAAGCATTAAAATATATGAACCCATGGAGGCTATTCTCATTCAAACTACCACAGCTGGGTAACTATGAACCCACAACAAGCTGCTCAGAGAAAGGCACAACATCGCTTTGTGGTATCTTTGCCCCGAAAACAAATCTCACCTAAATTCGATGAAATCAGATGGAGATACAATTGTTCAGCACTATCCCAAGGCATCAGGTCAAGGAAGACGTAGTGAGACAGAGCCACCCAGCCAGAGCACACCAGGGAACATGAATGCTAGGTGACAAGAGGACCCTACCAAAGAAGTTTGTGAGGTGCAGTCTTCCTTTGGGTCCTCATATTGCAGCACCAGGCATGCCTATTCTGACTACTGCTCTGTGATCTGGGAAGATAACAACAGCAGACGAAGGGAGGAAGGGACATATGGATTCTGTATTGATGTCCTAACTTTACTATAAATTCTAAAATTAGGGTTTTGTTTGTTTTAAAGATTTGAACTGTGCACACTGACTTCACTTGCAGGCCAGCATAGTTTGGTCAGAACAGCCTGTGCAAAATCTTGGGATCTATTGACCTAACCAATGGCTTGATTATTTTTTTAAAGATTTATTTATTTATTATGTATACAGTGTTCTGCCTGCATGTACACCTGCAGGTCAGAAGAGGGCACCGGATCTCATTACAGATAGTTGTGAGCCATCATGTGGTTGCTGGGAATTGAACTCAGGACCTTTGGAAGAGCAGCCAGTGCTCTTAACCTCTGAGCCATCTCTCCAGCCCCCAATGGCTTGATTAACAAGGAACTTTTTCTTTTTGTTTTTTTTGGCACAGGGTTTCTCTGTGTAGCTCTGGCTGTCCTGGAACTCGCTTTGAAGACCAGGTTGGCCTGGAACTCTACAGAGATCCATCCACCTCCCTAAGTGCAGGGATTAAAGAAGCACTCGGCCTGTACAAGTATGCCAGGAACATTCTGGAGGAGCAGTCGGGTCCCTGGTGCTGACCGCTTCCTGTGCCCTACTGGACCATGACCTGCAAGTCGACTGGGAGGAATTCAGAAGGGGTGCTGCACAGACATTCTGTGAAACACAGCCTTGTGGGGGGGGGGCGACCCTGGGGTTAGGGATAGCTTGTAAGGCTGCTGTTCTCCAGGTCCCAAGGTGACTGGCATGAGAGGGTGCAGAGTCTACAGGATGATGCCCACCACATAGCTCAACCTAGTGGTGTCTGATCATTCCCCTCAAGTCCTTCCTATTTCCTCCTCAACCTAGTGCTGTTTGATCATTCCCCCTCAAGTCCTTCCTATTTCCTCTTGGAACATCAAGTTTTTCAGATGGAGCCAGTAGTCAGTGGGCAGGGGGCAACCTCAAAGGCCAGGTCCGGCACACAGAGGCTTCGGCCACAGTGCCACAGGGTGGGGGCTATGTGCAGCATCACCGACTTAGAGGGATGGCCCAGACACTGTGTGAGCCCCACTGAGCTCGCACATGAGGCCAGAGCCACCTGGTCTGCCACGTACCATGTTCCTATGTGGTGGCTGGAATTTATTGACCTCCCTCCTGCTCCTCATCAGCTGGGTCTGCTCTCTCCACTCCTGCAAAGTTCTCTTGTTTCTGGAGAAAAAGCATGGTCACATTAAAGTCACAAGCCAGATGTTACTTCAAGCAGAGCTCGCAAGATCTGCTGTCATTTCAGCTTCACAGCCTTCTCCCATCGACCTGTCCTTAGAGCTAGTGGGAGGCTGGGAGTATCCTCCATTCCCTAATCCCTCCCTTCTGCTGGGCTTCTTCCAGCCACTTGGAGCAGAGACAGGGTAGACAGATTCCAACTGAGACCCCCTGGACTTGGGTTGTACTTCCTGCTGTAGGCTGTTACTTTGCTGTGGCAGCCAAGTTCCCCTAGTTCCCTACTGGCCAGGAAGGAACCAGCTAGGCTGCAGACACTGCTCAGAATCATGGCAGCTTCTCACAAGGATACTGGTCTAAATAGTGTATATCTTCCATCTTGTTCAACCTCAGGGACCAAGTGAGCCTCTAGGGATAGAGTGTTCACAAGATCCAGAGAGGCAGAGATACAAAGAAGCCTTGCTATATTAAAACCACCTCTGCTTTCCCAAGTCCACCTGCCTGTTGGCACCAACTTTAGCCATCGGCTCCAGTGGATGGAGCCCCAAATCCTGTTCCAGATCAGCTTCTTCTTGCTCTCCTTAGAGACACCTGTGCACTGGCTCATGCTTACTCTACCTGGGCCTCCCCATCTCTCTTCTGAACTATCTCCTGTCTAGATGCCAAGGTTCCCTGGGTTCCAATACGGGATACAGAGCTGAGTCCTCCCCTATACCTCCTGCCTAGATGGCCCAATCCCCAGCTCCCAGTGTTCAGACATGCTCCAAATCGTCCACTTGCTCCTGGACAAAGGATTCTATTTACTTAGCCACCTCTCCATCACAAGGAGCAGAAGGGATCTGCTCACCCTGCACGAAGCTCCTAATTGGGGAAGTGAGAACCCCCATAGCTGCTCAGCAAGGGACCACAACAGAGGTAAGACAATGGAGATAATTCACTGGTTGTTTGTACACAAGGCACGTTCTCAACAACGGTGAGTGACCCGCTATGGAAGAAGACAACCGGGTTGACTACAGGGTGTCTGGTATGATGCTGGCATGGGCTAGCACAGATGCTGCTTGTGAGCAGTCTGTCCTCATCAGGGCCCAGACAAACAGAGGCAGAATTCCTGATTGTAGCCTCAGGAGGTTTATTTATAGCCAGGCTTCAGAAGGGAGGAGTGAGAGGCTTCAAATATCTAAGCCTGATGTGATCCCAGATCCTGACAGGACAGGGGAAGAACAGTCAGAAACACAAAACGGGAGAGAAGTCAAAGGCATCATGTGGGATGTGACTAGGGAGCTCGCGGTGGCTATGGACATGGGGAGTTGACCCTGGCTTTCAGCACCCTGCACAGCTCCACTGAGATCCCCCACTGTCCAAACCCAACCATGAAGCTTGGGCTACTGTGGTACTGTGGATGTGGTCCACACTGACTGGCTGCAGGGTGCCCATGACAGGACACAGCTGGCTTGTTAGTGGAGCTGTAGGGCAAAGGAGAATAGTTGTTGAGAATGGGATAGGTGACAAGCAGGTTGCATGAAACCAAGGGTAGGAAGTGTGACATTGTGCCACCAACACGAGGGAACATTCCTTAGATATGATGGCAGGCCCTAGGGATGGGCAAGGGAGGAAAAAGGCACTTGGGTGGGTGGGTAGGTGGGTGGGGCCCACACAAAAAAGCTCAAGGCACTTGAAAAGCAGGCAGGGGACAGTACACTGCCCAAAGGATGCCCATGAACTACCACTCTGTGCAAGTCCAAGGAGAAGTCTCTGAACTGCTAAGCAAGAGTTTGGGCTTTTCAAAAACTACAGGCCATACAAAGGGTATGAGGGCTTCTAAACGAGGCAAGGAGAATAGAAGCTATCAGGCCTCTTCTGAGACTGGAGACAATATCATACCCACACAGTTGGCCACTGGGCCCAGTCCTGACGTCATCCATCCCAGGCGTACCTCCTCCGCTGCTCCAGCAGTGTCTCCTTTTCTTGGAGTTCCCGGAGAGTCGCCATATGACTGTCATCCAGCTTTTTCGTACGCATTGTGTTTTGGTACACTGAAGGGAGGTTGGGCAAGATTCCTTTGAAGGAGGTGGACTTCTTTCTAAAATCACACAATGATTATAGCTGAAAATGTAACTTTATGATGGTCCCTCCCACCTGCGGGAGATACAGTGCTGAGCACGTGCAGATTTAAAGGGTTATAGTTTAAGATCTTGACTCCAAAAAACCAAAACCAAGATCCCAGCTGCTACCCAGTGAATAACAGAAAAGCTCCAAAGCAGGCCTGGTGGGTGCACTGGATACTAAACAGTCAGTGGTCCCAGCTATAGCAATCCAGGGGAAGCATCAGTACTGATTCATGTCAGCAGAAGATGCTGTCCTCCAGATGCCCACCAGCTACTGAGCTCAAGTCCATAGGAACGGACATCTTTAAACCACTCCCAGAAGGCGACACAGTATCAGCAGGGAACCAGAGGAGTGTGGCCACACACTGAATGCCCCAAGCTCTCAAGTCACATCAGTCTCCCGGGGCTGAGATCTGGTATTTACGTCTCACAGAGAGACAGACCTATGAAGTACTCCTAGAGAGTGGCCATGACTGCTGGAGTAAATTATCATTATTATTCATCGCGACAGTGTAAGAGAGGAAAGAGGCTTCCAAACAGCAGAGTAGATGCTACTGTTCTCTGCCTGGGACTCCGAGATGAGAACATTCCAGCAGTCCCAGCCATGAGGACTACAGGCTACGGTGCAGAGGGCCAAAAATAAACAAACAAACAAACAAAAAAAAAAACCAACCAACCAACCAAACAAACAAAAAAAAAAACTCTAAAACTTCCTGGCTGTAACATGCATGAATGCTTTAAGGTGTAGATGACTGTTCGAGCCCAGGAGCTGCAGAGACAGTGCAGTGGGACAATGTGAGGACCTGAGCTTGACTCCCAGGCACTCATGTAGAAACCTAGAGTAGGGGCACACCTGCTGCCCCAGCACTGTGAGGCCAGAGCCAGAGACGGATGGATCCTAGGGGCTTGTTGACCAGATAAACTAACAGAAATATCGAGCTCCAGGTTCAGTCAGAGATCCTGTCTCAAAGGTGGAGAGTGAGACATTTGAAGTCACCCTCTAGCCTCCATACTGTACACATGGGCAAGTACATCCATACCTATGCACACCGCCCACATACACACATCCAAAACCACAGTACAGTTAAAGGGCCAGCTGCTTGTCATCTTCAGATGCCCCAGCTCCTGTGGATATCTTCCCAAATGCTCAGACCAGAGTTTAAACTACTGGTTATTGTCAGCTCTAAGACTCCGTCACCCTCAGGAGCCCATTACTGATTCCTGAGATATGATGGCACATCTCATTTCCATTCTCTATACATGAGCACCACACATACATACTCAGCACACACACCTGCTGCATGTACACACGTTACATACCACACCAGAGCTGAATTTCCTCTACGTGACCTACTCTGCCAAGTGTGTTCTGTGACACTGGTCTGTTCGGGTCCTATACTCAGGTCTTATTCAACATACCCTAAATAATGGATTTAGAAAGTGGACCTTGTGTTTCACACGACTGTGAAATAGCTTTACAGCTCTGGGAGATCAGGCAAGTCCGCCTTAGCGCTGCCTTACCTGCCTGTGGGTACTGGCTTCCGGTGCCTTTTCTCCTTGGCATTTAGTGCTGCCTTGAGATTTGGAGGCAGCTCAACAGCCAAGAGCTTCTTCTCCAGAACATCCACCTTCTCATTCTCCACGATCTCCTGCCTCAGCTTCCAGAAGCGCTTGATCTCCTCCTCACTGGGCCAGTTCTCGGAGGAGGCGCTGGATTTGCGGAGCTCACTCAGGTCTAGCCTGTCCATAGGCGGGAAGAAGTCAGCCTTCTCCTTCACCGCGGCTGCCTCATGGCTTGGGACATTAAGGCCTTTCTCACTGGACGTGCTTCTATGGGGCTGAGGCAGCACAGGGTACGGAAGGTCACTGAAGAACATCTTAATGGCGGAGACTTCTGGTGGAGTAAAACGGCATGTTAGACCTTGCGGTGAAGGGGGGGGGCAGTCTTCATGGTCAGCTTGTCTGGACCTGGAATCACCTTGGAGACACACCTCTGTCACAATGAGAGCATTTCCAGAGATGTTTAACTAGGAGGGGAGATTCACCCTGGATGTGGGGGGCACAATCCTATGAGTTGGGGACCCTGATTGAATTTAAAAAAGTGAGCTCAGCACCAGCCTTCATCTCTCTCTGCTTCTTGACCACAGACACACTGTGACCAGCTGCTTCATGTACCTGTTGCTGTAACTTCTCCAAATGGACTGTATCTTCTCAAACCTGGAGCCAGAATAGCCTTTATCCTTAAGTTATCCTTTATCCTTAGTCCTCAGGCATTCTGTCACACCAAAAGGAGAAGCTGGCAGCAACAGTAGCCTGTAGTCAACACTACTCTCCAGTATCACCTAGCAGCCAAGGCCACAGCCTTTGTGCCTTTGCTGAGATGTCTGGAAGGGAGGGAGGGAGTCCACTCAGGTCAGGACTAGCTGGACTTCATAGGCTACCACAGAGCAGCAGTTGCCGGGCAGGGCATGGACACACTGAAGATCCCTGAGCTCCTGAGCCTTCTCCACCTCCGGTATCCCAGTATCTTTTAGCCTATGTGCATGAGGCAATTTTGCCACCCTTGTGAACATTCCTGCTCCCCTCACCCAAGATATCTTGAGTCTTTATTTCCAATTAAAGGCTATACCTTGTGCCTGCTGTTCTTTGGCGATGTTTTGCTGACTTTTAGAGATTTTAGTTCTGTGTGAACTATTGAGAAAAGATAAGTGCTGAGTCAGCGTGGCTCTCTCCCACTAGGGACAGAGGCTCCACACCACAAGCCAGAAAGTGCAGGACTGGACAGAACCGGGCCTCAGCATCTAACATCTTCTGATCTTAAATACCAAACATCTTGGCCACTCTGACTATGGTTGGTAACCCCCTCCTTACATTTGGGTAAAACACACAGCAGGAGTGAATTCCAGTCACAAACTTTACTGCAGAGCCAGGGTGTCACACAGACTCCCGTCATCTGTTATGTCATGGAGGACCTGCATCCCCACAGCTGGGCCAGAGACACTTCTTGCACCATCTCCAGACCAGACCCAAGCTGTCCGGGACATATTGTATATTCACCCTCCTATGCCCTTGCGCCTCTCCAGTGTGGAGCAGAGCTTGACCTCCTCCTGATGGCATCCTCACTTCTCGACAGCACAGATTAACTGCCAGGGTGCTTCTTTTCCACTGGGGTCTGACACGTACGTCTTTTAGTGCCCATGTGCCCAGGTGTTGCCCCGAGTCCCTGCCCCCAATCCCTAGCACAGTGGTGGCTGCATCCAGACTCTCACTCTGGCCTCTCAGTAACCCATAATCCCTTGCTCACTCCTGCTCCTGCCAGGCATGAAGAGCTTTCCACATTGCCTCTCTTCTCTTAGCCTGTCGGCCTGTCCTTCAGGGGCTTAGGATGCCATTGCAACCTCTCAGAGCCTGCTACATGCTGCCTTTCCCTAAATTATGTGCCTTTACAATGTCAGTCTAAGATACCGCAGTTAGATGTCACACGAAGATGAACCCTCACTAGGTCCCCATGCAGGCACAGGAACCCTTGTGACTCAGCACTAGCACTCTGTAAACTGTCCAGTACAAAAGTCTCCTAGGAGCTTGCTAAAGTGCAGCCCCTCACCCTCCCTGGCTGCCCAATGCCACTCTCAAGTTTCCTGGGACACCTCCAAAACCATCCACAGGCCCTTGAGTCCCTGTCTCAGAGTTGATTCTGAAGACACAAACTAAGTCCTTTTATGAACATGACTGTTTTAAAACATCACAACCCAGGACATTTATGATGGGTCAAGGCAAAGACTGGGTCACCCTTCTCCTTCCCTCCCTTCTTCTCTGGCTGGTCAATATGTTGACAAAATGGGACAGTTTAGTAAGTATCCTACAGGGGGACACCATGCTTACTAAGCTAGTTCCTGGCATCTAGGAAGGAACAGGATATGCCTCATGGAGCTTTTTACAAAGCTGTCTGGAGTAGCACAAGGACCCCCAAAGTAGCTGCTTACTAGTGGCTGGGGTGAAGACTGCCACAGCCGGCTTCTCCCATGAACTTTTTTTTTTTTTTTAAATATTTATTTATTTATTATGTATACAATATTCTGTCTGTGTGTATGCCTGCAGGCCAGAAGAGGGCACCAGACCTTATTACAGATGGTTGTGAGCCACCATGTGGTTGCTGGGAATTGAACTCAGGACCTTTGGAAGAGCAGGCAATGCTCTTAACCACTGAGCCATCTCTCCAGCCCCCTCCCATGAACTTTTACCACATCTACCCAGACAGGTGTGACTGTTCAGAGTGAACTTGAGTCAGGGAAAGGCATGGCATCTGGGCCGGTGTAGGGGCTGGCATTTGCCATGTGAGCCCCACAGAGGCTGGAGAAGTAGCTCTCCTGGTTCTGATCCACACCTTGCAGTTTCATCAAGTCATAGAAGTCTCTACAAACCCGAGGGGACTCACCCCCAGGGAAGGCATTCTGCACTGAGCAGATCCGTAGGAAGGTCAGGATGGCTACCAAGCCTTTCTGCACGATCAGGTGAGGTGGGAATTCCAGAGGGCAGTGTCTCAGGTTCAGCGCCTTCAGTGTAGTGACCTGCCCTGCAGCAGAGGGGGAGCGTCAGTACCCTGCCTGCTTCTTAGAGGGCAGCCCAGGAGGGAGAGCAGAGCAGAGGAGGTGACGGACACCTGAGGTTTTCTTTTAAGAACTCTGCAGGTGGGGCTGGCGAGATGGCCCTGATGACTTGAGTTCCATCCCTGGGCCCACCTAGTTGAAAGCGAGAACTCACTCCTGTGAGTTGTCCTCTGACCGCCACACTCATGCCATGATAAAACTGCACACTCACAAAATAAATAAATGTGATAAAAATTGTGAACAAAGCTCTTCAGGGGAGACAGATAATTGATGATAATAAAAGCAAGCCAAACAACAGCAACCTTCAAGTCAAATTCGTAGCAGAAAGCGGCTACATTACCAAAAATGTCCCTTTGTAACATATAAGCTATATGAACTATTAAAAAAAAATAGGACCTGTACTGAGGAGACAGGTGTTACAGTCACTGTCCTCAGGCAGCCCAGATGCCAGGATTAGCAAACAAAGGCTTTAGCAGCCATTGCAAACACAGCTAAGGAAATGAAAAGTAGAGCTGCCTAGCTAATTTGAGGAGAATGTAACAAAATACCTAAACAAATAGGAATGCTAATGAAACAAAGAATCAAAAATTACCAACAGGTTTAGAATTGAACATGGCAATCATTGCAGCAAAAAGTTTAGCAGAGGAACTCAGCCGTGGGTATTAGATGGAGCAGGGATGCAGCTAAGTTGGTAGAGCTCTTGCCTAGCTCTGGGTTCCATGCCAGGCATAAACTAGGGATGGTGGCACATGCCTGAGATTCCAGGTAGAATCAAGGATATCTTGAGCTCAACTGGGGAGGTCAAGGCCAGCTTGGGTTACAAAAGACTGTGCCAAAAGAGGGAAGAGGAGAAGGAAGAGATGGGGAGATGGGAGAGGGTGATTGACATCCATTATTCATTCCTTCATTCTTTTGTTTCCGTGGAGATGGTTCCACTCCATTGTTGCCCAGGCTGGCCTAGATTTCACCATTTAACTCAGGTTGTTTTCACATGCAGCAATCCTCCTGTCTCATAGCCCAAGTGCTGGGGTTACAGGCTTGAGTCTCCAAACCTAGTTGAATTGACAAAGTCTAAGAATGTCCTAGGGATCCACTTCCCAGCCCAGTCTCAAGCCTAGGTGAAATCCAGCCATTGTCTTCTAGATTTGCTCCCATATGTGTGCCTCTGGGGCACCTTCCCCCACACTCCCACTTCTAGACGGGCTTCATGGCCAACTGATGTTGAGAAGAAAGACTGAGGGAAGTCAAAGATGGCTGTCCACCTTTTTGAAAACACACAATACTTTAGTGATAGAATGACACTGAGCACTGTCACCTGCTTACTGATAGCATGTGACGTGGTAAGCAGCTATCATGAAGTCACTCCTGTCTGCCTGCTGCTTCCCTTCCCTTCCGGCTGAGGGTGCTCAAACTTCCTGCATTTTAGTAACTGCGAGTGGGCTGCATACAGCTGACTGCTCATTTTTATCTGACCTGATAGTCTCTGCCTTTTAAACGGCAAAGCATCACGCACCACAGAAAGCCAGCTGGAGAATCTCTAGTTGCATATAATCTAAGCAGCAAGCTATGACAGCTATTCCTCATAATTAACTGGGGTGATTTGGAATCACCTAGGAGACGCGCTTCTGGCGCATCTTTGAAGTGTCTCCAGAGAGGTTTCACTAAGGGGAAAGGGAACCTGAATGTGAGTGGCAACATCCCATAGATCAAGGTAAAAAGCAGAAAGCCATGTGCAGCAGCAGCATTCTGTGCTTTCTGCTTCCTGACCTGTCCCAGCTGCATATCCTGTCCCAGTGAACTCTGTAATACCTTCTGTGACGTGAGCCAAAGCAAATCCACCTTCAAGCTGTTCTGGTCAGAGCAGTGAAGAAAATAACTTTAACATAGCCCATGGGTGAATCGCACCAGAAGACATGCGGCCTTGAATCACACGGTGAAGGCAGTGTTTAGGACAGAGTGCGGCTCAAATGTGTTAGAAAAGAGATCTGAAATCAAACTCCAAGTTTTCAACTCAACTCAACAAAGATGGGAGGCGAGCAAATCAAATTCAAACAGACAAAGATAAGAGAAAGCAGAAACCAAGGCAAATCAGTATGTAAGGAGGAAATGAGTGTCTTCCTCATTTATAGCAGAGAAAACACACACAATGGCCCCTCACATCCTCTCGGGCCTCAGAAGCACATGTGAGTCAAAGAATCAAGTAACCGAGTTCAAGTCCAAAGGAGGGCACTGAACCCAAGCAGCTGAGACTCAAGCCTGGCTCCCACGGAGAGCAAAGCCGCATGCCGGCAGCACGCAGCGTTGTATGACCAGGTTTTCTTAGGCTGTGTGCAAAATGCAAAGCTGTCTGGCCATGGCATGAACAACACACGTGAGTGCTAACAACTCCTTTGCCCGAGAACAGGCATGAGCTCTAGAAGGACTGTGGAGACGGCCCTCTGGACATGCCTGTGGGTGAGTGTTGTGGTAAGGTTAAACAGAAGAGAAAGACCCAGCCACTGTGGGTAGCATCATCACTAGGCTGGGATCCTGTGCTGTAGAAAAGGGGGAAATGAGCTGGGCACCAATTCTTGCTCCTTTCTGCCCAGCCCTGCTATCTTCAGTTGGCCACCATGAACCTTTGAGCTGTGAGCCCAAACAAACCTTTCCTCCCTTAGACTGTTTCGTCACGGTGCCTTACCACAGCAACTGGAGAAGGAACTAACAACCTGGGAAAGGGCCTTGGAACACCTCGCTGCCTCCCTTCCTCCATCATGCCTCTCCCCTCCATCACAAGCCCTGGACTTCAAAGCATTAAAATCCACCTTTCACTTTGTCGTGGTACTTACCTAGCTCAATGGGTAACGTTTTGATAGGATTTCTTTCTAAAAGCAAAGTTTTCAAATGTCTTTAAAAGAAAACAACAACAAAATACTTTAGAAAACAGAAGATTAAATGACCACCTGTAAAATACTGTGTCAATTTTTCCTTTCTTGGTAGTGGATATCCTAACACACACACGCACTATGAACCATTAGCAAGCATCTCAGATCTGGAGCACAGCAGGAGAGCTACTGCACTCTGTCCTGCACCTATTCTGGTTGTTTTTTCATTTGTTTTTGTTTATTTGCTTTTCAAGACAGGGTTTCTATGCATAGCTCTGGCTGTCCTAGAACTAACTGTAGACCAGGCTGGTCTCAAACTCATAGAGTTATGCCTGCCTCTGCCTCCCGAGTGTTGAGATTATCATAATCCTTAAATTATTAATTTATTGCTTTCTCCTTCTCTTTACTAGGACCCTTGGCTGAAATCTGGCACAAGGTCTCAAATGGCCTATTCCTTCATGTGCTGTCTACTTGAAAATAGGGTCTATCTCATGGCTATCTCAGGGCTAGCAGAAGGCAGGGCTTTGGGCCTGAGCTACACCCAGAGACTCTGAATGATGCTGAAACCATTGCCCTCTGGACTGATGGGCTCACAGTGACCATATCTGATTGGGCCTGAAACACAGAGAAGGCGTGCTTGGGCGGGGGGGGGGGGGGGGGGGGGGGGAAGCGGGGAACTGCAGCCTCAGCACCCAGGTCAGGCTCATGTCTGCTGACTTCATCGTTCTCCACAGTGTACTTTCTCAGGAATTCTTATGCTTTGAAGTCTGTTTTTGAAACAGTTCTACTCTATGGCATGGTTGACCTTGCTATGCAGATCAGGGCAGTCCCAATTTTCAACAATCCTCTTGCCTCTACCTCTCCAGTGCTAAGATTACAGGTACATACCACATCTTGCCTTATTTGATATTTTTATGAAAAAACTTGTCTCTTTTGAAATATTATTTTAAAATGTTTTACGTGTATGCATGTTTTTATGGCCTATTTGTATGAACAGGCGCCATGTGCCCATGGAGGCCAGAAGAGGGTGTCAGATCTGCTGAACCTGGGAGTTTGAGATGGTCATGAACGGCCCGTGTGGGCGTTTGCAGAGAACCTAACCTACTTCTCTGCAAGTGCAGCAAGCCCGTTCAACCACCAAACTGTCTCTTCTGCCCTAAGAAACTTAACGTGATGTGTACAAAGGCCGGTTATGTGAGCCTTCCTGACTCAGCTCATCGGCTTGGCTGTGGTGCCCTTTAAAACGCCTCATAAGGAAACAGGCAGCAGGGATATGCCTGCTCTCTATGAGCTGGTTGTGACTCAAGACAGGACACTCAGCAATGTGCCCTGGGCTTCTCCAGCACCAAAGCCAAAGGCATTCCAGTCTATTTGGCTTGAGTTCTTTTAGAAGAATATTTATAATATTTAATATTTACCAAATATTATTGCTGAAAGTATGCAGGTGATTTCTACCTGATATAACAATATCCATATGGTGATAAACCTGTGTTGGTCTTGTATGTTCTATCACTAGTCAGACTGTCCTTGCTGCTTACCTCAGCACCAGCTTACAACTGAGCAGACACCTGCCAGCTTCTAGCCTCCAGAGAACGAGTCAGCATGCCTTGTTTTAATCTCTGCACCCACACTCACACATCCACACACAGTGGAGGGGGGGCTCTGACGATACTATTGCTTTAAATATATTTTTTAACTTTAAAGCCTTTAATGAGCCCACAATTACTTAAAATTTCTAATGAATATGTTTCAGCTCTTGAGCAAGTGGATCCAGTTTTAATGACATAATGGGTGTGAAATCAGAGACTCAATTATAAATTAAACAACACAAAGCAGCTGGCTTTGGCTGTCAAAATCCAAGGATTCCAGATCTGAGAACTAAGCACTATTTGGTGGAAGAAACAGGAAGTGGACCCCTCAGCAGCAGACTTCATGTGACCTTAACAGTCAGGGACAACTACTCAACAGAATGAATGCTAACCACAAAATAATTTGTGGCCAAAACCACTCAGTTGTCCCAGCACAGAAGATGGTGTTCTTGTGAGGAAGAATGCAACTCTGTACAGGACACAGGCCCAGAAGACCGGGTGGCCTGGCCAGGAAGGTATAACTAGGTAGAAACAACCCAAAGATCCCAAGAGCCAGCTCTGCTGTGTCACCACCTGCTGGCCAGGCATGCGCTGCCGCCTCACCAGTCCACCAGTCCATGCACGGCTTACCCTGCTAGTTCCAGGGGCTCCAGGACTCCACAGGAGGCTTCCTGGTGCTTCCCCAGCTCAGATGTGTCAAAACTAGCTGCCTCCTGCTGACTGCTGAGTAGGAGCGTGGAGGGCAAGGGCAAGGCATTTGCTCTCACCATTATTTGTGCCGGGTGCTCACTCCCCACCCACACACACTTTTTTTCTTTTTCTTTCTTTTGTTTTTGTTTTTCAAGACAGGATTTCTTTGTAGCTTTGGAACTTGACCTAGAACTAGCGCTTGTAGACCAGGCAGGCCTCAAATTCACAGAGATCAGCCTGCCTCTGCCTCCCAAGTGCTGGGATTAAAGGCGCACACTACCACTACCCAGCTACAATATAGTTTGATCAGTACTTAACAAATGGTGCCCTCAGCGCAAGCAAGGCACCTCTGCAAACCTTATGCTGATGCACAGCGGACTGATGAGTTCCCTGGGACTCATGGGAACTAGGTCAACCTTAGACACATCTGTTTTCTAGTCTGCTGTCAATGCCAATCCCAAAAGCTCTGAGGTTCCTTGAGGCCCAGCTACAGTCACTTGGCCAAGCCTCCTACATGGACCACTGCCCTGGCTGCCTGCCAACTCCTTCTACCCTTTGCCCCATAGCTTCCATCCTCAGGCAGTGATCTGGCGCCAAGTCTAATTCTATCCCTATCCGCGTCCAGTTCTTTCAAAGTTGAGAGCATAGATTCCCAAACCCTGAAGACCTTCCTCAGCCTCATCTCCTACCTTGTCCCTGACCCCTGGTAAGCTCTTGAGTACTTAGGGGACTTGTCTGCCCTTCCCTTTGCTCAGCTCTGTGAGGGGAGAGGAGGGTCTGAAGTGAGTAGCCTGGGCAGATCTAACAGAGTCGGGCGGTGGCACAGAGAGTAGACCTAGGTAAGGAGGCAGTGAGTCTGTGGCTGGGGTAGGGAGTGGAAGCCTGGCTGTCGAGGGTGGGCTGGACTGGGCTCCGCAACTGGGAGTTCTGGGAAACCCTGGGAAGCCGAGGGGCAGGAATGTGGGAAGACAGTCTATACTGCTTGCCTGGGGGTTTCTAGCTTTCCAAAACAGGGTAAAACTCTTCCCCAAGAGCCAGGGGGGATTCTCCAGGACCCAAGGCAATGCCTGGCTGGGTTTTTATATAGCCAGGGTACTTTTGATCTCAGTCAGCTTCCCACAGGAGAGTCAGGGTGGAGTCAGCTGTTTAGGAAGCAATGTGGACTTTCTAGCAGGGGCACCAAGGCTGCCATTTTCTACCATGTCAAAGAGCTCATCACAACACGATTAGCCACACCTGGGACGGCTGGCCACGGACCTGTGAGCTGTGTCTGAACCATCTGGATTTTTTATTTTGCTGGGGCTTTTTTTTTTTAATTTATTTATTATGTATACAATATTCTGTCTGTGTGTATGCCTGCAGGCCAGAAGAGGGCACCAGACCTCTTTACAGATGGTTGTAAGCCACCATGTGGTTGCCGGGAATTGAACTCAGGACCTTTGGAAGAGCAGGCAATGCTCTTAACCACTGAGCCATCTCTCCAGCCCCCTGGATTTTTTATTTTGAGATGGCAATTCACTATGCAGCCTGAGTTGGCTCAGATTCACAATGATTTGCCTGCCTCTGCTTCCTAAGTGCCCAGCCCAGTTGAAGACGATCAACTTGCACATCCAAGGAGCAGACGCTTACCTGTGAGAGCCAATCTCTGATGGAAGGGCCCTGATCTTGTTATAACGGAGGTCCAGCCATGTCAGGTTGGGCAGCAACTGGAAGAAATCCTTTGGAATCTCACTGAGCGAATTCCTCTGCAGGTGTAATTGCTTCCACAGAAGGGGACAAGAGGATGCTTTATCAGCCAGTGAAATTTAAAACAGGATGTATCCAAAAACCATCTCCAAAAGGATTAAAACAACCACAACTACATGTCAAACGAAAAAAAGCTACTCTTAAAGAATATAAACAGTTGACACAAGAATCAGAGATTTAAAACCTAACACTGTCTTCCTTCTCCCTGGCCACACTCAGTACCATGCTTGCAGAGAACCCACTGAGCAAACAGTAAGAGTCCTGCCTAGGAGGAAGCTACGGGACACAGGCACATTCTGCTGTGGCATGATCTGTGATGACCGGCCACACAGAAAGGAGCCATCGCCCAGGTAGGAAGACATGATCCATGAGGCCTGATCTGAGCCCTGAGAAACTGTCCCAACTTTGCTTGAAACTACAGACAGCACTGGGATATTCAGCTCTCTGTGCACTCCCACAATGAAGGTGCACCACCACCACCACCACCACCACCACCACCACTTGGATGATTTTTTTTTCCATAGAAATACATTCATAGCAACACCTGTCTTCTCAGGTATGAGTCTAGATTAGACCTAAAATACGCTGGAATTTCCTCCTTCCTTTCTGGATAAAGGCAATGGTTATCTCATCGCTTAGCTGGACTCCTGAGAATGGAGAGCTTCACTTCTTAGCGAGTGCCATGTAAACAACAGTCGCCTGAGGAGGTGGGTCCCTGTAACTAAGAGAGCACTCCTGGAGGCTGATAACAGCCAGGCATGAGCCAGGAGGACTGTGAACCTGAGGCCAGTTTGGGCGACATAGCAAGATCCTGTCTACAAAACTTGAAGGGCAAGGGTGCTAGCTGGCTCGCATGCCTTGAGAGCAGACATGCACAGAGGGAATGAGCAGCTCACCTCAGTGCGCTGTTGTCCCTGACGAGGGCTCTACGTGTGTTCCCGTGCCACCTTACAACCCCGTGCCACCTTACAACAAACCACAGTACCATTTCTAGGTTCCAGATGAAGCCGAATGCAACGTAAGGGCATTCTGTGACACAAGGGCAGTGCCAGCCCTGCCAGCACTGCTGGGGATCCTCTATTCTGTCTGCCATCAACACTGCTTGCTCCAGAAAACTTGGGGACAATGCAATATTACTAGGAAGTGCCCTGAAGGAAGGCCTGACACAAAGGAAAGCAGTGTACATCAGCAAAGTCCGAGACAACGAGAGAAAGCTTCCGACTGTTTTCATAGTCCCCAGGCCCTGCAGAAGGACACGTGGTTTAAATCAGAGACCCACCTATTTGGACAGTGGTCTCTCTACCCTGGCTGATCTCAGCCTCAGTGTTTCCCGTGAAGAAACACACCCTGCAGGGTAGAGAAGGCTGCCCCATCCTGACACCTGGCTCTCTCTGTTGCCTGGCACCACATCTCAGTTGCTCTTTGTTGTGGTCAGCCTGTGAAACCCCAGCTAACCCTCCCGCTCCTTCTACAATTCACCTCTCCTAACAAGAGGGACAAAAAGCCCAGCGCTGATTCTGCTTCTGGCTGCAGGCACCTGTGTGCCACACCCTCTCAGGAACGGGACACTTACTTGAAGGGTGGGAACTTTAAATAACTCTCCCAAATGGCACAGGCCTCTTTGACTCAGGTCTAAAACTGGTGAAGAAGAGATGACTCCCTCAAAACCAGACTCATCAGTTTTGGAAAAGGAAGCAGGTATGCCCTTGGCAACAGCAGCATTCTCCGGATCATTGGAAGCCTCCTCCGTGTCCTCCATTGGATGCCCTCCAGTGGCCACAGCTCATCCTTCTTGGTATGGAGTCACCTGAAAACAGGAAGGGGGAGGGTCCTAGCAACCAGAAGTCGGGAGGGGGGGGGGGGGAGCATGACGGGATGGGAGCAGGGCACATTTGCAGGGACTTGACTTGCTGAAAAAGCAACAGTACCATGATTTTGGCTTTCAAAGTTGTAAATATTGGAACATAAGGAGGCACTGGTTAAATTCTTTGCTCCTCACACTGTACCGCAAAATTTAAAAAAGAAAATGATTATTATGATCTGAGATATAGGTTCAGGCAGCCCAGGCAGGCCTCCAACTCACTGTGGTGAGCTCTGAATTCCTAATCTCCTTGCATCTACCTTGAAAATGTTGCAATTATAATCAAGTACATACCTGGCTACAATATAACTTTAACTGGGAAATACCCCGCGAAAGCAAGGATGATAGAATAAAAACGAAGGGGGGAAGTCTGCAAGCTACCTGCAAAATGGGGAGGGGTTTCTTGTAAGCCTGTTTCCTGTTTCCGCCTTGATTCTCTGCCTAGGCAATGACAATCTTGCATCTTAAAGTTCAGTAATTCTTTTGCTTAGCCAGCGCATACTTTCAAAACAATCCCAGCAAAAACGATGGCCGGAATGCTTATAGGTTTGAGATAATCTGTCATCTACTCCGTCCAAAGACTGCCTGTCACTCCTTTCTGAGAAGGTAACTTTCAGTGAAGGATCTGACCTCAAGAGTGTACAATTCATGGGGAGCCTAGGTCTGCTCCTGACCCGGGATGGGGCTCCCTAAGGTCTCCAGGTATTTGCATAGTCTATGGTTTGTTGTTGTTGTTTTTCTACACCTTAGAATTAGGAGGAAAGGATTCTTCCTCCAACAGATTACATTGTAAGGAAGATGCGTTGATGGGAGAGAACCACCAGTTGAAGGGACTGGTGGTTCGGTTTCCACACTGGGACTTGGTTAGGCAGAACTCAACATTTGGGCCTCAATTTCTATCCTCGGGGCGTGACCACTGTAGAGGGTCAGGGGACCAAGTCCTAGTCCTCTCCCACCACCGCGCTATCAGAGGTCAATGTTCAAAGGACCCCCAGCAGACAGACCCACAGCCCGGTGGCCCATCAACCCCGGACTCCACGCCCGCCATCCCGGGGGCCCGTCCTACAGCGCGAAGTCAGGTGCCCGCTCCCTTCCAGTCCAGCCCGGCCAGCGGTGATTGACGCCGCAGCACCCCTCCTCCTCTCCACGAGCCTCCACGCCCACCTGCGACTCCGCCCCGGCACGCCGGCTGCCCCGCCTCCGAGAGGTTCAGGCACTGTCTAACAATGGAGCCGCGCGACCCAGACTGTCGCCACGGAGACGCAACTGCCCTACGGAGGCCCGAGGGCGTCAAGCCGCGGGGCGGGGGGTGGGGTGGGGTGGCTTTGGTACGCGTGCGCTTATGGCCTGTGGTGGGTGACAAGGCTAGAAAGAGACTTCGAGAGGGCAGGCGGATGGACTCGGGGAGGGCTTGGGGACCCGAAGGAGACTGAGCGGTGCTTCAGCTGAGCGGACCGTCTTCCAGGGCAATGGACCTTCTGGCCACAGGCTGCCCGGAGCCGACCGCTGACCTCTGCGCCTGCGTAGAAACAGCCGCCGCAGCAGTGCCATGATCGTGGCACCGGGTACAGGGTTCAAAGCAGAGAGGTGTTGTTGTAGTGGGGCCTGATTCGGCACAGACGCTCCGAATGTGGAAACTTGGAGGCTGTCCCTACCCATTTAGAAACCTGCACAACTGGGCATTCTGGGAGGTCGGTCAACTATGCATACACCCTAAACCACACCATACTCCACAGAGGAAAGGGATCCCGATAGAAAAGAGATTCCCAGAATATGGTGAACTACCTTAAAACCAGATCTGGTGGGAGAGAGAAGATCCTAAACAGTCAGGTGATGTGAGTCATTCCTTTCTGGAGGTCAGAACTTAGGATCTTAGAAAGTTCCATTTTCGTGAGTAATAAGTCACACACAGGGCAACACGACCCGTGATCAAATCTACGGAAATCGCCGGAAATGAACTGGTCAGAACAGTGAGTTGTGTCCTCAGCTATCGGGCACATGGATATAATTTTGCTAAACATTTTTGAAGCAGCAAAAACAGGAGCTGTATCGAAGGTATAAGATGGAACCAAAGTGGAAGTCTAGAGCTAAAAAAAAGCCCCAAAAAAACACACAAACAAAAACCCAATAGCAACAAAAATGGTTTATTCGGGCCAGCAAGGTAACTCAGTGGGTAAGTTCACTGAGCTAATTCTTAGAACCCAAGTTAAGATAGGAGAGAACCAATTTCACAATATTGTTCTGTGGCCTCCACACATGGACCGTGGTATGCCCCATATTTATGCAATAATAAATGTAAATAGTTTTTCAATTGTGTATTAGCAGATCACTTAGAACTGAAGGTGAGATGGGGAGTAAATTGTAACACACACACACACACACACACACACACACACACCCAAACAAATGATAAAGCTTAGAAAATTCAAGAGCTATAGGAGTCCAGTGGCCCAGATATGTGTGGCTGGATGTCTTCTGAGGTCTCCTCAACACAACAGAGATGGATGCTGGCAGCTGAATTTGGTTACATGTTGGTAAAGGTTGGGGCCAAGACGTGTTTAGAGAGGAGCTTCAGGAGGCAGAGAAGGCAGGCCATTCCTACCTGGCCACAATGCCATCAGAGAGCCCATTCTGATGGTTCAGGCGGTGATGTGCTTACCACACCTGCATGGGAACCTGAATTAGATTCCCCAGAATCCACTTGAAAGGTTAGGTACAGCATTGTATGCCTGTAATCCCCCACTCTTGGGAGACAGACAGGTGGATTCTTAGGGCTCACCAGCCAACCTTCCCAACCCACCTTCCTCCACGCCAGGAGACCCTGTCTCCCACAAGAAACAAGGTAGACAGCTTGTTGAAATGGCACGAGGCATGGCATCCAACCTCCACACATGTACCCATACCCATCCACAAGAGTGTATGTTCCACCTGGCCGGCTACTAGGAAAATAGAATTTTACCCAGATTGGACATTGTATTATACACGTTTGAGTGACAAAATAAGAAGCTTGGTGTAATGTCCATGTGCTGACAATCACAGGGTCCCCCTGCTGGGAACTGGTGTCCATAGGCACCTTGGGGAGCCGTTGGGTACCCCAGCACAGCCCCATCTGAGCCTGTTGCCTCTTCCTACTGTCATCTGAAGTTTTGATTTCACTTAAAAATCCCCGAAATTAGTTTTTGTATTCAATAGTTAATTATATGTAGGAACTTATCTTGCCTTTTTATTGACGCTCATTCTCCAGCTAAACCGCCTCTGTTTAGTTCTCTTGGCAAGTGTTTCTGGGCTATTCTCCTTAAGCTTATGAATGTACCCTCTCTATTTTCATCTAATTCTTGAATGACTGTTTAGCTGCTGCAGAGTTCCCTGTTGACAGCAATTTTCTATCAGAATTTTAAAGCCATTACTTGCTGGCTGCTGCTGAGAAGGCTCCTGCCAGCCCCGCTGCCATTTCAGGGAAGGAATCCGCACGCCTTCCGTCCCCATCTGCAACCCCACTTCCGTGTCTCTGAGCGCACACCAGGTTTCTCTCTGCCTGGCGAAGTCTGTGTCCTCCATTCAGACTCTTCCCAGCCTTTTTGGGCATGACTTGCTTACACCCCGATATCGACTCAACGTTGGTGGGACTTCCTCACCATGCTCCCTCCCCTGGCTCAGAGCTGCCCTTTCTGAGAGTTACCCATCTCTGGTCTTATGGACCATCTGCCAGCCCACTAAATCTTTCCACTAGGGTGCAGTTTGCTTCAACTCTTGAGTTTCTCAAGTGTTATGCAATGTTTTACTCTTTTGGCTTTTTTGGGGCTCCCACCATCCAGCTCCCAAATAAATCACACGTGGAGGCTTATTCTTAGTTATAAATGTCCAGCCTTAGCTTGGCTTCTTTCTGGTCTGCTTTCCTTAAATTATCCCGACTACCTTTTGCCTTGGCTTTTTTCTTTGTCTATTTCTGTATATCTTACTTCCATTCTTATTTCACGGCTGGCTAGGTGACTGGCCCCTGCTGTCCTCCTCCCCTTGTTCTCTCACTACAACTCTATAGTTTCCCTTCTATTTGTACTTTCTGCCTGCCAGCCCCGCCCATCCTTGCTCCTGCCTTGCTATTGGCCATTCAGCTCTTTATTAGGACCATCAGGCCGTTTAGACAGGGAAAGAATCACAGCTTCAGAGAGTTAAACAAATGCAGCATAAGCAAAAGCAACACACCTTAAAATAATATTCCTCAACACTCAAGCAACCTCGTTTTGTTTGTTTAATATTCTCTCTCTCTCCCTCTCTCTCTCTCTCTCTCTCTCTCTCTCTCTCGTTCATGCAACACGTGCTCATTCAGGTATGTCATTCCTTAGGTGCCTTCTACTTTTCCTTTGAAAGAGGGCTTCTCTCTCGTTGGCCTGAAATGTCGCCACATAGGCCAGGCTAGCTGCCAGAGAGATCTAGAGATCCGCCAGTCTCCTCCCACTTTGCTATCAACCGTTGCACTTGGCTTTTTATGTGGAATCTGGAGATCTGAACCTAGGTCCTCAAGCTTGGGACACAAGTGCTTTACTGACTGAGCCATCTCCTCAGCCTAGTATTCAGAATATGTAATATAATAAGCAAAAGCTTCTATAATTCAGTAAGAAAAATATGATGATACATTTAGGTTAATGGGTAAAAGAATAGGAACCAAAACTTAAAATAGAAAAAGGGAAATATAAACACAATTTTATATATATTTGTTTTATTTATAAATATTGTTATATATAATAAATATATACACATATACAATTTTACATATATATATATAGATACATATATACACATACATACATGCATGTGCACCTCCTTTCCAGCTACTAGGGATATAGTTTTATCCAAAATTGGATATTGTTTTATACACATTTGATTGGCAAAATGAGAAGCCTGGCATAATGTCCACATGCCGGCTCTCCCTACTGGGAACTGGTGTCTCTAGGCACCTTGGGGAGCCACTGGTTACTCCAGCACAGGAACTGTATAGATCTGAGTTCTGCGTGTAGTGGTCACACGTGTGCCAACATGGCCACAGCAGTGTCACATGACTAATCAAAGACCTGCAAGGGACAAGAGAACACATGGGTTAGTGAATTTCATGAGTCAGTGGAGCATCGCACACCTTGTACTGAGTGAGCAACGCCTGCCCGCAGCAGCGAAAGGGGAACCTTAGAGACCGTGGGCAGGGACTCGGTGTGACACACCCTGACGATGACAAAAGCTAAGCAAAGATGAATGGTGGCGAGGGTGAATGAGAAAACGCTAGAGAAAAGAACCTAGAGAAGCATGCCATCGGCCGAGGCTGGGAAGAAGGGAGGCAGGGCATGGGCAGGGGTGGAGAGAGTGGGGCTGTGTACCGGACATGAGCTCTTACTGCCACAGATGAGTGAGGCCAGACTGGCCAGGGCTCAGAACTAGCTAAGCCTGCAGTAGCTACTGCAAACCCGAGCCTACGAAGCTGAGCTCCTCCTGGATTCTAGGGCTCTGGGACCCATAAAGGGAGAAAGAGGGACCAGGGAGGGTGGAGCTGGGCTCAGTGAGATCAGAGAAAAGGAAATGTACAAGGAAGTGGGAATGGGGCTGGTCCAGGCAAGGTTCACTGGCCCTGTAGAAGTGGCCAGCCTGCAGGAGTGCCTCAACAAACAAGAAACACCCTTGGCAGTGTGGACCGTTCCAGGAAGGTACCGGGAGATGATCTTACTAATGAGGGTAGAGCTCATCAGTTAGGAAAGTTGTTGTTGGCTGACAGAGTCCCTGGCTGGGGGCTCTAGCAAGGGCAGAGTCTTTGTTTACACAATGGAGTCCTGACTTAGTATTCATGTCGCCATTTGGAAGCAAGGCCATTAAAGAGGCCATCAAAGTCAAACGGGGATCTGTAAGTGGGCCCTGATCCAGAGTGACTTGTGTCCCCATAAGAGTTCAGGATACCGCCACAGAGGTATGACCATGTGAGGATATAGGGAGACATCATCTACAAGCCAGGAACAGAGGTCTCCAAAGGAACCAGTCCCACCACACCTGCATCTTTTCTCCCAGTCACCACCAACATCAGAGATAAATCTGGTTTGTGAACCAAACTGCAGGACTCACAGGTGGCAGCGAGACCTGCCTGAGAAGGCGGGGGAGTCACTCAGTTC